TCCCACTGTCCCAATGTCCAGCCTGGCCTTGGGCACTGCCAGGGATCCAGGGGCAGCCACAGCTGCTCTGGCAATTCCAGCCCAGCCAGCAATTCCCAATTCCCCAGATCCCAGCCAGCCCTGCCCTCTGGCAGTGGGAGCCATTCCCTGTGTGCTGTCCCTCCTTGTCCCCAGTCCCTGTGCAGCTCTCCTGGAGCCCCTTTAGGCTCTGGAATGTTCTGGAAGCTCTCCCTGGATCCTCCCCTTCTCCAGGGGACCATTCCCAGTTTTCCCAGCCTGGCTCCAGCCCTGGAGCAGCTCAGGATTTGCCCCTCTCACATCCCCACCTTTCCCAGCACCGGGCACGTGGCCGGGAGCAGCTCTGCACGAGGCAGGGCCATTCCAGCCTCTCTTTCCCTGTGCAAATATTGACCCAGCAAACGGCTCCACGCTGCTGCCAACCCCAGGGGCTCTTCCAAGGCCAGGATTGTACTGGACTCTTCCAGAACCCGGCTGAGTCAAACCCTGAGTCACTCGGCCACGGCCACGCACGACAGGGACAGAGCGACAGGGACAGAGCGACAGGGACAGAGCGACAGGGACAGAGCGACAGGAGAGCCAAAGCCAACCCAAAACACGGCCGGGACAGCAGCAGGATGAGCCCCGAGAGCCCTGCCCTGGCCTGTGGATCCACTGCAGCTTCCTCCACCAGGAACCAGCTCCAGGAGCACCTTGAGCAGGGCAGGACACACCAACCCTCACAAAGAACGCCCCAAAACCTGCCCCAAACACCTCATGGAAAGCGGCAGCTTCCTCCTGCCATGCCCCGGGCCGCCCACGGAGCCACCGAGAAACCACCGTGACTTCCCGAGGCCCCCGAGCAGCCCCGGCTTCCTGCAGAGCCAGCACGGCCCCCCCGGGGATCAGCCAGGGATGGGATGGGGAAAAGGGACCCCAGAGTCCCCCCAGTGCCAGCCCTGCCATGGCAGGGACACCTCCCACTGTCCCAATGTCCAGCCTGGCCTTGGGCACTGCCAGGGATCCAGGGGCAGCCACAGCTGCTCTGGCAATTCCAGCCCAGCCAGCAATTCCCAATTCCCAAGATCCCAGCCAGCCCTGACCTCTGGCAGTTTAAACAGCCTGGGAAATCCCAAATCCATCCCAAGATGGGTCTTGGCTCCCATCATCCAGGCCATGCCCATCCAGTGCTCCCTATCCAAAACCTCCAGATTCCTCCAGCCACACGGTTTGGAATTGAGCTGTCCTGGACTCTCAGGGCATGGGAGATGCACAGAAAAAAAACACTCAGATCCCGAGATAAAACCAGGCAAAATCCCAGCTCTAGTAAATTGTTATTCCCAGATAAAACCAGGCAAAATCCCAGCTCTGGGAAGTTTTTATTCCCAGGTAAAACCAGGCACAGTCCCAGCACCAGGAAATTGTTATTCCCAGGTAAAAGCAGGCACAATCCCAGCTCTGATAAACTGTTATTCCCAGGTAAAAGCAGGCACAATCCCAGCTCGGGGAAGCTGTCATCATCTGCAGCGATGGGGAGAGCCAGGAGAATAAAGCCCATCCATTTACAGGGAATAATGTGAGCAATCAGCACACAATAAAACAGACACTGGCGTGGAAGGATGTGATTCCCACTGCCAGGAGCATTCCCTGGAGCCCCTGTCCCACACAGCCCCACAGAGTGCTGGGTGCCTGGCACGGCAGGGGGACACGGGGACACCGTGCCAGGCAGGTGCCGTGTCCATGCCCTGCATTCCTGGACACATCCCTGCGGCTCCACAAAGCAGGAAAAGCATCTGGACGCCTGCCTGGATCCTGGACACCCCGTGCAGCCAGAGCAGCTCCAGGCGCGGCCCCAGAGCCAAAACCACGGCCCTTGAGAGAGTTCAGAGCCCTCTGCTGCCCCTGCCACAGGAGCAGGACGTGGTCCCTGCCCCACAGCCCCGGGTCACAGGGGACAGGGCTGTTCCAGGAAAGCCCAGGGACAGGGCGGCTCCTGCAGCAGCCCCCAGTGACCCCAGCACGGATCTGCTTTCGGTTTTGTTCCCACAAACTGCACTGAGGAACAGCAACATCACGTGGAGCCAGGCTGGGAGGGGAGGGGAGGATCCAGGGAGAGCTCCGAGCCCCTGGCAGGGCCTGGAGGGGCTCCAGGAGAGCTGCACAGGGACTGGGGACAAGGAGGGACAGCACACAGGGAATGGCTCCCACTGCCAGAGGGCAGGGCTGGCTGGGATCTGGGGAATTGGGAATTGCTGGCTGGGCTGGAATTGCCAGAGCAGCTGTGGCTGCCCCTGGATCCCTGGCAGTGCCCAAGGCCAGGCTGGACATTGGGACAGTGGGAGGTGTCCCTGCCATGGCAGGGCTGGCACTGCAGGGCCCTTCTATCCCAAACCATCCCGGGATTGTCTCTCTGGAGATGCTGCAGAGCCACCTCAGCTCCCAGCACCCCACCAGACCCTTCCCTTTCACATCCCCAACTGCAAACCCACCCCTGCCCCACCACAGATCCCACAGGCACGGAGCTCCAGCAGTGCCCAGGTCCATGCAGCCCAGCTTTGTTTCTAGGTGAGGGTTAGAGGGAAGGTGCCAGCCTGGCCCAGCCCAGCCTGGCACAGCCCACGGCTCTGGCAGAGCCACCCAACCTGTACAGCAATTAGTCACCGGCAGATGAGCGCCGCTGCCCTTCCTCCAGCGTTATCTAAGCAGGGAGGGGGGTGGGAAAACACAGCCGGGAACGCTGCCAGGCTGATCCCAAAAACCACAGAACCGGTGTCAGGACGTCTCCCCACCCCTGGGGACACGGGGCAGGACAATGCTCAGGCACCTCCAGTCCGGGATGGGAAGGGTTCGCTCGGGATGTCACAGAGATGCCACAACTCCTGGGTGCCTCATGGCCAGGTCACTCTGACTGCGCCATCCCAGCAGCCACGAGGCCCAGGCTGGTGTCCAGGACCCTCCTAGAGAATCCTGGATCCATCCCCCCCAGGGCATCCTGGAGCCATCCCCATCTCCCCACAATATCCTGGGCCCACCCCCTCTCTGCAGAGGTGAGTTAAACCCAAAATAAAGTGAATATTTACATCACAGGATTTGTTAAGTGTGAGCTCTTCCCGTCCCAGAGGCACAAAATCACGGAGGGATTTGGGTGGGAAGGGACCAGAAAGTTCATCTTGACCCAGCCCTGCCATGGCAGGGACACCTCCCACTGTCCCAATGTCCAGCCTGGCCTTGGGCACTGCCAGGGATCCAGGGGCAGCCACAGCTGCTCTGGCAATTCCAGCCCAGCCAGCAATTCCTTCCCAAATCCCACCTAAACCTGTTCTTCCTTCTGGCTGTCCCACTACAGCCAACCACATCACCCCACAGCATCACCCCTCTCCCCCAAACCAATCCCAAACGACCCCAGGCACGCGTGGGACATTTCTGATCTCTTGGAAACTCGGGGTCTGGGAGTCACAGCAAGGAAAACCAGGCTCAGGGAACGCCAGGCCCAAGAAAACCAGGCTTAAGGAACTGGTTCTTGATCCCCACCAGTCACCAACCAGTTCAAAGGTGCAGGTCCCAGCTGCTGCACCCACAGGGAGGAGATGAGGAAGAAGATGAAGGAGGAAGCAGAACAAAGGGGGTACAACCACCCAGCATCGCTCCAGCTCCTCCCTCACTCCCAGGTGGAATCCTGGAATCCCATCCCAGGCACAGACTGAGTCACGGGAGAGCAGCTCCTGCCCATCCCAGTGCCCCAGGAGCACGGGACACTGGGGGAAAACGCCTGCAATAACAGCAATAACAACAATAACAACAACAATAAAACAGCACATGGCCAGAAAGGCCTCAGGAAACACCAAACTCTGACCCAGCTTGCTCTGCTCTCCAGCATTCCTGACACACATCTCATTCCCCCTGCCTCCCACCAGGGATCCCTGGCTGCTCCAGGCTGCCAGAGGCAGCCGATGGGGCTGGGATCCACGCTGGGATGGTGGAGCTGAACCCAGCCCCCATCCCCAGCATCCCTGATAACCAAACCCACGTCAAAACGAGGATTCCCTTCCCCAGCTCCCGGCACAAGCTCGGAATAACCTCAGCTGACAGCTGGGAATGTGCCAGGTGGGAAGAGATGAGAGATGCTGGGGGGAGTTCTGCACCAAAGCCCTGATTTTAGGTCACTTCCCCTCCTTTGTGATGCTGCCAGAGCTCCTTCTCCCCAAAAGCGGCTGGGGGCAGGAAGCAGAGGGAAACACAACGGGAAGAGACACTAAATCCCAAACAGGGAACACCCCACGACCAAAACAACCATCAGCATCACCTGACTGCGAGCAGGGATGAGGGAGAGGACAGAGGAATGAGATCTGGGGGTCAGGAGCGTCTGAGGGAGCAGCGAGGGCACGAGCACCTGCCTGAAGGGGCTGTGGATGTGCAGGGAACGGGGCTGGGGGTCCAACACCCATCCCAAGGGCTGTGGGTGTGCAGGGAACGGGACTGGGGGTCCAACACCCCATGCCAGGGGTTCTGGATGCCCGCTGGAAGCGGGATGGGGAGCAGCGTGTGCCATGGCAGGGGATGTGGATGCGCAGGGGGACAGGCCCGGGGACATCCCCGGAGGACAGCAGTGCCTCCCCTGCCAGCCCAGCCGATGCTTCCGGAGCGGTGACAGCTCGCGCATGGCGGGGGAGGGGGACAGACTGAAAACACCCAAAGCGTGAATGCGCTGAAGCGCGCAGGGGCGGCTGCGGCTGCCGGGAGCTTCCCGGGGGGCTGAGAACTGCCCGGGGCTGCCCGGCCCGGCACCGGCTGCGGCCCCGCAGCCCCGGGACGGCTCCGCTCCCCCGGCCCGGCTCACCCCGCACACCCGGGCCGGCCCCACGGCCTCGCCCGTGCTCCAGGAGCACCCTGTACCCCCCGGCCCCGCCTCACACCGCGCCCCCGGCCCGGCCTCACCCCACAGAGCCGGCCCCGCACCCCCGGCCAGGGCGGGCCCGGCCCCCCCGCGTCCCTCCGCAGCTCACCGCGTTTGCCGGGGTCGTATCCCACGAGCACGAAGTAGTCGGCCAGGCGGGCCATGGCGGCGGGGGCGGCCCGGGCCGGCCCCGGGAGCCCCGCGAGGCCGCGCTCGGCTCCTCAGGGCGCCGCCACCCGCCCGCGCCCACCGCCCGCCGCCGCCGCCATCTTGGCCCCGCGCGCACCGCGCCTGCGCCAGCGCCGGCCGCCGAGGGGGGCGGGGCCTCGCCTCCTATTGGCTACGGGCGGAAGGGGCCGAGCTTGCCATTGGCTGAGAGTGGGGGGCGTGGCCGGGCGCGCAGGGGGCGGGGCTGGGGAGAGGGGCTTCCCCGAGGGGGGGGCGGGAAGGGGAGGGTCCGAAATAGGGGGGGGGGACACGGGGACATCCCCGGGGTGCTGGGACATCCCGGGTATGGGGGACATCCCGGGTGTGCATGGACATCCCGGGTGTGCATGGACATCCTGGGTGTGGGGAACATCCCCGGGGTGCTGGGACATCCTGGAAGTGCATGGACATCCCGGGTATGGGGGACATCCCTGGGGTGCGGGGACATCCCCGGGGTGCGGAGACACCCTTATGTGTGCATGGACATCCTGGGGTGAGGGAACATCCCGGGTGTGCATGGACCTCTCAGGTGTGCGGGGACACCCTCGTGCGTACATGGACACGCGCGTGGGGGGACCCCGCCCCCCATGTGAGCACAGACCCCCCCTCCCAGGTGTGCACGGCCCCCAGGGTGCCCAAGCCCCTCAGTGGTACTCGACCGCCCCCATTCCACATCATCCCCCTGGAAAGGACCCCACACAGGTGTGACCCTATACAGGTGTGTCCCCACACACAGGTGTGATCCCCAGGACACGATCCTGAGGTGCGCTGCCCCCATCCCGTGGGGTGCTGGCACTCGGGGGCTCCGTGCCACCCCTCACGCAGGGACAGCGCGACCCTCCCGGAGCCTCGGAGGGTGGCTGTGACCCCACGGTGTCAGAGCCTCCGGGATTTGGGATCCATCCTGTCCTCGCTGTCCCCCAGCAGCCACACCTGCACCGGCACACCTGGGGACAGGGCTGAGGTGGCAGCGTGCCCTGGCACAGCCCGTGGTGGCCCTGGCACGGAGCAGCGCCCGCAGGGCCGGGGTGGCCATCCCGTTAAATTCCGTTCCGTTCCTTCCGTCCTGTCCCGGAGTTCGCTGTGCCAGGACCGGACCCGCCCCTGGTGCCCCCGGCCGGACACACGCCGGGGCACAGCCGGGAATAATTCCCCGGGAAAATCCCCATTCCCACTCCCACGCGGACGTGGGGTGCGTGCGGGATGGGGGGGCAGCTCGGCACGGCCCGGGGGGCTCGGGGGGTCCGGGCAGAGCCGTGCCAAAGCCACGGGCACCAGCGGCACCGCGAGCTCGCCACGGCCGCAGCCTTGGGGTCACCCCCCGGCGTCCCCGGGGTGTCCCTGGGGTGTCCCCGCGCTGGGAGGGGGGCCCGGGGGACAGGGCATGGACAGCCCAGGGCATCCCCATCCCCCGGCCTTGGGGTTCACCCCCTCCCCGGCTGGGAGGGGTCCCCGGGATGTGCAGCCGGCCCAGCCCCCCCAGATTGGGGTTCCCCCGCACCCCAAGCCCCGGCCGGGGGTGATGCAACCCTGCCCGTCCCTTGCACCTCCTGCCCGGCCCCTCGGGCCGCCGCGTGTCGGGACATGTGCGGAGTCGGGACACGGCTGGCTCCGTGCCGGGCACGGGCACCGTCCCCGGCGACACCGCTGCCACACGCCGGGCACCGCTGGGGGGGTCCCACAGAGACCCCCACACCGGGAAAGGGGGGTCCCACAGCACGGGTGGCTCCTGGGGACACCCGCTGGTCCCACTGTGCTGACGGGTGGCACGGAGCCGCAGGTGTCCCTGTGCCGTGTGGCCATTCCGGCACGGCTCGGCCATCAGCGGGGGGACGCTCCGGGGCTGGGGGGGCTGGCACCGGGGTGGCCGTCCCCATGTCCCCTCATCCCCTGTGCCTACCTGGCTGTGTCCCGGCGCAGGGGCTGGAGCCACACCTGGGCACACAGAGCAGGTGACACCCGGTGGGTGCGGGGTGTGACACCATGGGACAGTGACACTGGGCCAGGGATGAGCCAGGGTGGCCATCGGAGCAGCAGCAGGGTGACAGCCCAGGGACAGCCCGAGGGACGGGCACCCAGGAAAGGGTGACAGCGAGGATGTGGGAGCGGAGCGGAGCCGGGGCTGGGAGCAGGAAAACCGGGCTGATGTAGCCTGGAAGCGGCCGGGGCTGGGCGGGGTGTGACCTGTCCCCTGCCTGGGACGGGCACGGGGACACCGCTGGGATCTGCTGGAATCGGAACCGCCGGGGATTGGCACCGGCACCGCGGGGATGGCACCGCGGGGATGGCACCCGTGGGGACAGCGGGTGACACGGGAGCTGGGGCCGTGCGGGACCCGCAGTGGCCGCAGCGGGCACAGGGAGCCCCGTGGCACAGGACACGGGGAGGGGACAGGAACGGGGCCGCTGGCACGGGGACACCAAACACGTGCAGAGCCCAGCGGTGCCGTGTGCCCGGGATCCTGCCGGGCAAGAGCTGCTGCTGGGGACACTGGGGACCCTGGGGATGCTGGGGACGCTGGGGACCTCGGGGACACTGGGAACACTGGCGGCGCTGGGGACACTCACGTGTCTGCAGGACGCGGTTCATTCCCTCTCCCGGCAATTCCCGGGAGAATTCCCGGAGTTCCCCGGACACGGAGCGCAATGTCCCGGGGCAGCTCTGTCACCGCAGCGGGACGCGGCTCCGGGGCCGTGTGCGGCCACTTTGGGGGGCCCGGCGGGCTCAGGGAGGGGGTAGCGGCCCCTCGGTGTGGGGGTCCTGGCTGTGCCCCCCAGCTCTGCTGCTCCGGGACAGGGTGGGCAGCCCCGGGGGCTCCCAGCACCCAGAGGCGCTTTTTGGGGAGCGGGTGACCCGAGCGGGGCTGCGGGTGCTGCTCCCAGCCCCCGCCCTGCCCCGGGGCCTTAGCCAGCAGGCAATTAAGCTAATTAAAACTTCTCCTGGGTTCCCAGGGCCGGGAGCCAGCAGAGAGGAAGAGGGAGAGGGAAAGTGCTGCCGGGCCCCGGGGACAGATGAGGTGACCCGGGGACGGCAGCCCCGGGGTGGCACCGGCGGATCGTGAGGCAGCGCCCGGGATCCTTCCCAGCGCCCCAGGAATGGTGATCCCTGAGGAGGAGGAGGGCAGGGAAATGGGTTCTGCCCCCGTGGGGCTCAGCTGGACCCTTGCCATGTCCCCAGAGCCCCCTCCTCGTGCCCAGGCGTATTCTGGTGACACTGATCCTGGTGACGTGGTGGTTTTGTCCCTGGGGGTGACAGCGGCTGGCACTGCCCCACACGGGGACCCGCACAAGGTCCTGGCAGGGGAGCCCCAGCCAGGAGCCCGGAATGGCCCTGGGGTCGCTGTTGGGGTGCTGGGTGACAGATGTCACCTCGGAGATCCACACCCCACATCCTACAGGGTGACACAGCCGTGGGGACACCGCGGTGGCTCAGGGGGGCCCAGGCTCCCGCGTACCCCACCCGCGGCTCTGGGCGCTGTTTTGAGCCGGGATTTTCTCTCTGGCTGGGGCGATCCAGCAGCAGCGCAGCGGAAGAGCCCAGCACGCCGCAGGAATTCCCCGGGATCCGTGCGGGTCCGTGCGGGCTCCGGGGGTCGCGGTGCCCGCAGCCGTGCCCAGGGCTGCCCCCGGCCTCTCCCCAGCACCCCGGGATCAGGTGCTGCCTCGAATCCCCCCGCTCTGCGCGCGGGTGTGTGGAGCCTTTGTGTCCCGATAATGCGGAAGAATCCCAGCGATTCCGGGCACGCAGAGGCCCCCGGCCCCTCGGCCCGGGGAAGCCGCGTCGGGGGGAGAGGGTACCCCCAGTCCTGGGTACCCCCGGTCCTGGGTACCCCCAGTCCGGGGCTCCGGGCCGGTTTGGACGCCCGGGGGTGCTGGGGGTCCTCGCCCCAACCCCACCGGGAGCACCGGCCCGGAGCAGGGGTTGGGGGTCCCGACCAGGGAAGCTGTGGAGACCACTCCCCTGCCCAGCTCAGGAGCGGCCCCCAGGAGCCCCTGCCCCCCCGGGAACCCCAGCACCCGCAGTCTGGGGGAGCTGCTGCCCGGCAGGAGCGGGACCGTTCTGATCCCTGCGGATTTACATTCCTTAATTGTTTTACAAGGCCCCATGTGATGCTTGAAAATATGGAATGGGCCCTGGGAGAAGCCGGGGGGGCGGTTGGGGCTGCCCATACTGGGGGCACTGGGCTGCACTGGGCGGGCTCTGTCCCCCCCAAGCTCCCTGCCAGGGCAGGGGCGATGTCGGGGTGCCCGGGGGTGCCCGGGGGTCCCCGCTGTCCGGCGGTGCCAGGCGAGAGGACACGGCCGGGCTTGGCAGGGCCCGGCGCGACGTGGCACGGGTGGCACGGGGCACCACGGGCCCGGCCCCGCCGCCACCGGGGCTGCGGGGGGGTCCAGAGCCCCCGGTAGCCCCAGCCCAGCCCCGTTCCGCCGCCCCCCAGACGGGTCCCCAGCCCGGCCCAGCCCCGGGGCCGCTCCCCCAGCCCCGCACCGGGAAGGTCCCGGGGGCAGCGGGGCCGAGCGGGGCTGAGCGGGGCCGAGCGGGGCTGAGCGGGACCGGGGGCTGAGCGGGACCGGGGAAGTTTGTGGTGGTACCGGGGAAGTTTGTGGTGGTACCGGGGAAGTTTGGGGTGGTACCGGGGAAGTTTGGGGTGGTACCGGGGAAGGTGCGGGGCAAGGAGCGGTGCGGAACTGGGAACAGTGCGGGGCTGGGGAGCTGCGGGATTGGGGAGGGCACGGGGAAGGTGCGGGGCCGGTGCGGGGCTGAGGGGGCAGCGAGGGGTGTGGGATGGGCGGTGCGGGGCCGGGGTGCTGCAGGATTTGGGGGTTTGCGGGACCGCCGCGGTGCCGGTGCGGAACCGAGGGTGGTGCGGGGCTGCCCCCGCCCGCGGCTCCTCCCGTCCCGTTGAGCTCCTCCCGCCCGCCGGCCCGGCGGTATTTAACCTGGGCCGGGGCGGGGAGCGGCAGCGCCGAGCGGGGACAGAACCGGCCCCGAGCCCGAGCCCAGCGCACCCCGAGCCCGCTCCGGTACGGCCGGGACCCCGCGCCGCCCCCCGGGCTGCGGCTCCGGCAGGGAGCGGAGCGGGGCGGGGGGAGGACGGGAGGGGGGCCGGGATCTGCAGCCGGACCCCGGC